TATCTCAGTGCAGATGCTTCCTGTTGCCCTGAAAATGGAACAGTTTGACAGCTTAACAAAAGGCGGAAGTTACTGTTTATGTATGTATTTCACAGAGAATAAATGACATAACGATATGCATTTCATGTGTTAACATTACTTGTTTTTTCACAGTATTGCTATTTTACTTAATTTTACACTGCAGATTTTTTTTTTATTGCACACAGTTATGCTGCAAATGCTTTGGCAGTTCAATTTTAGTAAAAATTTTTAGTAAAATTTTAAAGAACCAACTATGCCAAAACCTTATCTGCGCTCGTCGTATTCTGTCTTCCAGTTTGTATTTCCACAGCATGAAGGTAAGATCTTACGGATTTATGAATGAACCACTCGTTTAAAATCTTCCCGGTCTGACATGTTGTGCTTAAAATATTACAATATTCATGATAACTTTCCTTAACTCTACAATAGGTAAATCCTCTTCGACAGTGATGCCAGAGAAATATACAAAGGAAGTTCATAGAAAAAAATGTAAAGATGGCTGCGTGCCAACGCATTCTCATCCTTTGGCATCATATAGGTGACGCCATATGACATTTTGTCGAAATCTTACGCACATGGCATCCTTTAGCGTCAATATAACACGCACTGTTATGGGTAGGTTTAGGTCTGGGGTAGGGTACGGTTATGACGCCTTGGGATCTGCGTCTCATATTCACGCTAAACGATGCCATGTGCGTTGGATTTAGACGCGCGTCACCTGTATGACGCCTTGGGTTCTGCGTCTCATATTGATGCTAAAGGATGCCATGTGCGTAAGATTTCAACGAAATGTACAAAGCGTCACATGTATGACGCCAAAGGATGAGAACGGGCTAGTATCTCTGGCTCATAAGGAGAAATCTCTTAAATGATGGCATACAACTTTTGTGTTTATTTCGGCATATGTTTACGGGCTGATAAATTCATAACATATTATTACAATTAAAAATGAATTAAACAAAATTATTGACTAAATCCATAAAATGGTCACATGATGGGAAACCCTAAAAGGTTCTTTTTGGGTTTTTTTTTAACTTTATTTACATGTTTCTCATTGCACACAGCTATGATACAAAAGTCAAGACAGAACAAAAGTGCAGTTTTTAGTGAAGTCATGCCAATAAACCACACTAAACCTGAAACTAAAAGAGAGAGAGAGAGAGAGAGAGAGAGAGAGAGAGAGAGACGAGAGAGAGAGAGAGAGAGAGAGAGAGAGAGAGAGAGAGAGAGAGAGAGAGAGAGAGAGAGAGAGAGAGAGAGAGTGAAACGTGCTTGCCTCTGCACTGTGGTTACTGTAAAATTTTGGTGAACTGAATAAGCTGACAGGAAGACTTGTTTTTCTCTCTCCTATTTTCTATCCATCTTTCAGCAGCAACACAATGCAGCACTATCAAATCAGTTATGCAAAATAACAGAACTCTCTCTCTCTCTCTCTCTCTCTCTCTTTCACAAAACCCACAATGAGAAACCTCTCTGTATGTGTGTGTGTGGGGTCCTGGTAAACCTTACGTTATGGGTACCAAATGTCCCCGCCAATAGTAATACCAGAAATGTTTACCTTGATCTTTTTTTTTTTTTTTTTGGTCCCCATGAGGAAAACCGCTTATAAATCATACTACATTATGTTGTTGTTGTTGTTTTTTTATGTAAAAATGCAGAACGTTTTCTGTAAGCCTTGTGTTTAGGGTTAGGGGAAAGAATATACAGTTTGTACAGTATAATAATCATTATGTCTATTGAAAGTCCCCAATACAACATGGAAACCCAACATCAGATGTCAGTAAATAACTGCTCACGCACATCTCTCTCTCTCATTCTTGTCCCAGTAGAAATTAGGTACAGACAACCCTAAAACATTCACGCAGTACACTCTCTTAAACACATGGACTTCCTGTTTATCCGACTTCACAGTAGAATGGGTCATGGTGTGTTTCCTGTGTTTTTAATAAGTCATGTCATAGGCCCAGGCTCACTACCAGAGCCAGGCTGTATACAGCCCTAAATGGTCAAGATTAGACATGCAGAGAGAAATATTTGCATGTCAGTGTGTCTGTGAGTATTTCATGAATAGCACACACTGTTAAGATTGTTGTAAACTTTCTGTAGAAACATGCAGACTGGTATTGCATCAGTTATTTGCTAATACTGCGGTATGTCTGTGTGTGCATGTTGCATGGATGCAAACGTGTGTGAGAGTTTGCATACTGCATCTTCATGTAGACCTCAACACTTCCTGAGTAGTTTGGCAAAAGGTGATCCCCATAAACTCTCAAGAACAGAACACAAACGTTTATGAACAACTCAAAGCAGTCATGTTTTACTAATGAGGTTAACATAGTTTAAAAACTAGAAATCCAACTAGTACTACTTTTCATTTGCAAATAGCAATTGGCTATTGGTGAGGTTCAAGTTTCAATAGAAATGACATTAAAGTACATTTTAGTTAAACATAAATTAATTTAGAATATTATGTACATTCAACGGTACACTTTACCTAAATTTCAAAGAAAATAGAATTATGAAACTACTTATAAAGATGTACTAAAGCTTAAAAACACTTAAGTTTAGCTCATTGCATTTACAGTAATATATTACATTTTCATTTAAATGCAAATAACTCACAATTATGTGTCAGAAAACATTACATTCAATTTTCAATTAAGTATATTCTTTTAAAATACATTAATTCAAATATATAAAGAATAACAAAGTGCAGTGTGTGTGTGTTTGTGAAAATCTGCCATTCTTAACCAGTGAATGTGAAAGACCCCTGACAGAAGAGGATGAGGTTTCATCAAAAAAACGTTTGTGAATGAACCCCCTTCACACACACACACACACACACACACACACACACACACACACACACACACACACACACACACACACACACACACACACACACACACATACACACACACTACAATCATGCCTTAATTGAACTAGTATAGCAATTGACCCGCACTGCTTTGAACCAATAAAGTGACACTGATAGACTGAAAATTCAGACAACTTTCTTCTGTAAAACCTATCACCAATTTTCATCATTCTTCTCGGTGAGTCATTTCTTGCAAACCTCCTCTCTGCATATCTTTTGTCTAAAAAAAGCTCTGCAGCATTCTTTTTTTAAAATCTTGAGCTTAATCCAGCTTTCATCTCCAATATGCTGTTATTTTCTGTCTGTCTCTTACTGTAGTCTGACAGAGACAAATGTGTGCATATAGCTGTCCATTTATATTATATATTTCAGCTTTCTTTCTTAATTCAGGCCCTTCTTTTTCCACTAATAGGTCTGAATAAATTCCACAACCATTCCTTTTAAGTCTTTATTAGTGAACATTATCCTTTTCAACTATCTCTTTTTCTTTGCTTCTCGCTCTCTGGGCTGTGGGATTGATTTTCCCCAGGTCAGTAAGTTATTTCTCTGCTCTATTTAGAGGTAATAACTCTTCAAACTGCCAGTGAGACTGATTTAGTTTGTTACCCATGATTATTTCAACCCACGCTCATTGGAAAAACGTGCCTTTGGCTAAATTTCCGCAAAATGATGTTGCTTCTTGCACATTTCGCAATTAAATTTGTAAAAATGTAGTTCACCCAAAATGTTTAATTCTGTCATCATTTACCCTCAAGTTGGTCCAAACCTGTATGAATTTCTTTCTTCTGCTAAATACAAAGGAAGACATTTTGAAGAATATGGGCAACCAAACTGTTGATGGGCCTCATTTACTTACATTGTATTTTTTTTCTTCCATACTATGGCCGTCAATTGGGGAAAACAGCATACTGCTGGTCATGTATTTAAAAAAAATTTTTTTACCCCTGAGCAAAGAACGAAAAAGAACTTTACTACAAGTATATCGGGGCCTTTAGTTTACAAATCATGCACCGTGTTAAAAGCATTCTGAGATCATAATGACATAGTATTGTGCAAGAAACAGCATGAAAATAAGTTAATAATCTGCCCCAGTAATCATACATTGTATGAAAAAGAATAAAAGTTGTTGTTGTTGTTTACTGCCACTAGTGTTTCTGTTTTTGATTTTTTAGGTAGAAACTGCAGTGAATTGTATGCACCTTTTTGTATAAATGTAGGTAGACGTGCATTTTTCCAATGAGCCTATGTTAGATTATTCCGTACTAGACAGGTCTAAATAATGTCTTCCCCAGTGATCCGGCAGTAGTTGATCATGCCATTATAACAGTGAGTGACCAATGTCCTACCTTGGCCTTTCTAACTCTACCCCAAAAACATCCATTACAGTGCAAAAGGGCAGGGAAACCATCTGACCAGTTTGCCTGTAGTCTCAGTACTCGTGGAAAAGGTCAGCGATGCCTCATTTGATGGTAATGAACATATACATTTTTAAATATATAAGCTTTTTTGGAAATGTTTATTGTCTCAGTCTTCATCATCACTGTCAGAGAACACATTGTATAGTAATGCTTAAAGTAGTTCCCCCCCCCCCCCCCCCCCCCCCAAAAAAAAAAAAATCTTTTACTCACCCTCATATCATTCCAAACCTGTATGCATTTGTTTCTTCCACAGAAAGAAAAAGATGTTTGGACCCCACTGACTTTCATTGCATGAAAGAAGATGTTCCATTAGAAAGAAATGCAGAGAGGTTTGAAACAACATCAGGGTGAGTAAATGTGAGGGTAAAACATTCCTTTAAGATCAAAACAGCTTGGAGAAGCTTTCTTAAACAATTTATCAGCATTGCACCACACGTGTATCAAGAAGAGCTTACAGAAAATGCAAAATAGACAAACAGAACTGTCAGTATAAAAAATAACCGCAAGGTGTGAAATAAGCTTCTCTCTCTCTCTCTGATGTAAACGCGCCTCCGTTAGACTCTGTGCTTATATGCCTTGTTTTGCATAATGCGTAATAACAGAAATGAGTTCAAACCCCCCAAACAACGCAGTGCGCTGCGCGCGCGCACCGACATCCAATCAAACTAACAGTGCCCACTCACCTTGATGATCGGCTGATTCAGAACTGGATCAGCACATCTGTCCACATCAGTCGGCTTTTTGAAAGTTTGGAGATCCTTTTAGTAAATAATAATATATTTAAATATTTTTACGGTCTGATGAACACAAACAGCATCCTATGCGCACTGATCTTCATCGCTCTTGTGCCACAAGTGTCTTCCTATTCGATTTCACAAGGTTGGAGATTTACAAGGAGCGCGCACACGAACGCGGAGAGCGAAGGTCTGAATGGGTGTGTGTGCCGCGCGTGTGTGAAGCTATCTCTCCCTGATTGCTGAATGCATGTAAAGGCGGTCCATTAGTCGCACTAGAGGGCGAGATCGACGAGCACTGCATTAAGGCGGCGTCCCACTAGTAGGCTTCGATTTTGGTAGGGGTGTCTCACCTGTTGACTGTTTTTGATGAAATCTCGCCCTCTCCTGTCAGAGGTCTGTCACACACACCGATTAAGAATGACAGAGGGGAGATACATTAATTTTCTCCACAGCTAACAAAAATATTTTCCAAGAACGTTTCGCTAACGTTCCCTTTAAGTTATAAAATTGTTATTTCTGAATTTTGTCTGAACGTTCAAAACGTCCAGTTTTTTTTTTTTATAAAGAAAAAAATGGGGTTTTGTCTTAAATGCGAACGTTAAGGAAACATTTAATTTCATCCTTTTGCAAACATAATTTTGCAAACACAAACAGTACTTTTGAATGTGCTCTTAACATTCTGGAACAATTGTTGTAGCTAGTTAAATGTACAGTAAAAATATTACGGTATTACAATACAGCATATTGGCGACTATATTTTACAACTGTTTTACAACAAAAAACTTGTAAAACTTGTAATTAATTTTTTTTTTACCTTAAAATGTACATATAACCGCTTGACCTAACAGAAAGCCACATGAGGAATCTTACATTTGCATTTTATGCATTTGGCAAACACTTTTATCCAAAGTGACTTGCATTGCATTTCAAGGTACACATTTACATTCTTATCAATTCTTGCTTTCCCTAAGAATCGAACCCATGACCTTGGCATTGCAAGCGCCAACGCTCTACTGTTTGAGCTAAACACAATCAGCATAACTCACATATGACACAAACATTATGCTATAAGCTTAAGCAAAATTAGCAATAAAAATAAGCTAAACTATTTAAAGGGGTCATATAATGCCATTTTTTGTACAAGCTAATATGATTCTTTAGGGTCTAAATTAAAAGTTTGTAATATACTTTAATTAAAAATTCTCATTAGTATTGTAAGAAAACACTTATTTTACCTGGTCAAAAACAGCTCTGTTTTCAGCACGCCGTTTCATTGCATATGACTTTAAATGATAATGAGCTTTGCTCACCCCGCCTCTCTGTTCTAAGCATACACCGTTTGTAACACAATAACACAATAACCATAACGCGTTGTTCATTATAAACGTGGGATTATGAATTATATTGAGAACGTTGTACATAGAAAACATGCTGTAATGTACCCTGAGTGTAAACCGACACATTCATCGTGAAGCGTGCAGCTGGCGATTTGCAAAGATTAATATAAATATTAATATAAAGATTAATAAAACGTTACACTCACTTTAGTTCTTCTGAAGGTTCAGAGCAGGAACACGAATAGGTTCCGATCCTTTATTCAGGTGCAGCTTCTCAGCAAAACCAGCTTTACACTGATCCTCGTTTATAAAGCAGTCCACTGAGAAATGATTCGGCAAACATGAGAGCATTGACGTTGCTCGTGGGGAATATTCTCTTCGAAAACAAACTCAGCCACTGCGTCTTCAGCGGTTCGGATTTAGGAACATTAAAATGACTGCTGTGTTCGTTATTACACCCAAGAACAGAACACCACAATCGCTTAGACGCCATTCTGCTCATAGACAGTGCTCCAGCATATCAACAATGGCCGCGCCGATCCGCGTGGACTATGATTGACAGGACGAGCGAGGGCGGGTCTGTGTTGAATCACTGCTGTCAATCAACAATCGCGGCAGGGGCGTCCGTTTTATTGACGTCACAAAAACGAACGGCTCAATTTGAGGCAGGGGAAAACATATAAGGAGATTAAAACAAAAACACTGGATGGATTTTTATCATTATATGATGGTTGTGTACAGGCACTGCCAACACACATTTCAGTACAATCAACTTGTAAAAGTGCATGTACCATTATATGACCCCTTTAAATAAAATATATGTGATTTGTCATAGGGACTTCTGGAAATGTTTTTTTTAAAACTATTTTTCGCTGTAAAGTTTACGGTAATTAATAGTTTTTACTTGCAAAAAAAAAATACATCAATTTGATGTTTTTTTAAAGCAATTTGTTAAACCAGCCTGCCTCAAACTAGCCTGCCTCAAACCTCCCGACTGGATTACCTCATCCAGAGGGATCACCATTCGTGGTCAGAAACACAAAACTATGAACTTTGGAGCCTGGAATGTGCGCACACTGATGGATAGTGCAACCAGTGATAGACCGGAGAGGAGAACTGCAATCATCGCTAGAGAACTGAGCAGATACCAGATTGACCTCGCCACCCTCTCTGAAATCCGACTAGCAGACGAAGGACAACTGAAAGAGGAGAAGGGTGGCTACACTTTCTTCTGGAAAGGAAAAGTTGTTGATGAGCCCAGGATACATGGTGTTGGAATTGCCATTAGAAACCAGCTTATCAGCCACATCTATGAACTTCCTGTGGGGATTAGTGAGTGTATCATGGCCATCCATCTGGTGCTTGCCAACAACCAGATAGCAACAGTTGTGAGCGCCTATGCCCTTTCTTTAGATTCTGAAGAGGAAGTAAAAGAGACCTTCTATGCCTGCTTAGATAAGATTTTGTCGAGAATTCCCAGGGAAGATAAGATTATTCTCCTAGGAGACTTCAATGCCAGAAAAGAAACGTTACAAGGACAATATCAAGGCCATTCTGAAGAGATTCCATATCACATCAAGCAACTGGGAACACATTGCACTGGACAGGAGCTCCTGGAAGAAATCCGTACAGGAAGGTGCAGCACGCCATGAAGCAGAACTCTGCCGTGCCGCAGAGACAAAGCGACAGCTTCGCAAGGAGAAAGTCAAAAAGGCTCAACCACCAACAACAATCACCACTTTCTCCTGCCCACACTGCACCAAAGTATGTGGATCACGGATTGGCCTCTACAGCCATCTGAAGACCTACAAAGTAGACGACCCAACGGAAAGGACAGTCATACTCACTTTGAGTGACCGCCGATGATGATGACTGGCCTTATTCAGAGCTAAATGGTAAAATGGACTGCATTTATATAGCACTTTCACAGACCCAATGGCCACCAAAGCGCTTTACATTTTGCCTCACATTCACCCATTCACTCACCGACGGCGGTGTCAGCCATGCAAGGCGCCATCCAGCTCGGGTTAGGTGTCTTGCTCATGGACACCTCGATACTTGGTCAGGTGGAACCGGTGATTGAACCACCAACCTTCCAGTTTGTAGACAACCTACATGAACCACTGAGCCACTGCCGCCCCAAGAGCTGTACTACTCTTCTAATGCCTTGATGGCATTTACATAAGCCAGCTATAGACATCACAGGTTCTATTAGAATTTCAAACCAGAATTTTCAAACCTTCTCGAATCACTATGTGAACACTGTTGACAGCCAAAAAAAATTTTGACAACAAGGCATCAATAGGCTAGCCTGGGAAAACCCAGACAACTTCCGGCAAATTTAGATTTGCTCTGAAAGTTAGTCTGGCAAAGAGCTCATTCAAGCCCATTTCCAATCCGTCGAAATCGAGGCACCAACCAGAAACGTTGGGGCGGGCTTTACACGATGACAACAGCGCTGGGATTTTAAAGCAGATTTTGTAGCCTACATTACAAAGATGGATGCCGCCGTCGAACATCACTCGTTCGAATCAGCTATCGCGTCTGTTTTAAGCGTTTTGAACGTTTCCTTTTTGTTAAAAACCGAGCAAAGAACAACACTCGGAGATTCTCCGCCGCTCTGCATACGTCATCTCCTTCATCGCTCTGATTGGTTTTAGGTCTATCCGCGACGTCCGTTGGTGACGCCCCTCTGGAAATGATTTGTCTATGACGCTTTGCCAGACCATAACTCAGTTACAACTGAGAATGGTCTGGTTTTAACCAGGCTATCAATAGGCTGTCTATCACTCACTCCTAACAAACATAATACAGTGAGATTTATGAATAGGTTTTTAAAAACGTTTTGCTTTGCTTTACTTGATAAAAAAAGGTATTTATAGATGACTGCTCATATAGATTAAAAGAAAGTGTATTATTATTGTGTATTACTGTGTGAAACATGGTTGGGTTTTTTTAACTGCAAACATGTCTGTGTGATTACTTTCCTCTGCGCTCTCTCTGCTTGGCCTGTTGCCGACCCCTGCTGTACATGGACGTTTCTGAATGGTTAGTGGATACATTTATGTAGTTGTTGTGGAGTTACGTTGATTCATCTCATCGACTAGCCTGTACCGTCATGTTAATCTATAAACTGTTGTATAGGTGCTTGTGTGGGAACTGTATTAGGATGCCCACAAAGACAGAAAATATATGCTGCATGGAGATAGAGCAGGTATCGTTTTGTTTATTGTTATAATGTCGGACTGCTTCTCACTCAGGGCGGGATCTAGTGCAGATCGTCATCACCAGTCGTGGGCGGGGTTTCCCTACTCTTACTTAGGAGTAGGGGGACATTTTAAACAGCTTGTTCTGAGAGATTGATAATGATATATGGGGATTATAATTAAAGTATTGGGTGGATTTTTACCTTTATAGGCTGGTTGTTTACACACACACTGTGGACACACATCTGTGAATTTTACATTATAGGTTCCCTTTAAAGAAAGTTTACCCCTTTAAAGTTCTCTTGTCCTCTCTCTGCCCTGGAGGTAAAGTAATCCGTATATAGTTTCATGAAGGTAAGTCATGTACTCACTAATAAATGAATTGTTAGAATTTTCAACTGTTTGAAGTTTATATAAGTTTGATCTGCTCTGAATGACTGTATAAAAAGATTATTATATCCTCATGTTATTGTTCCACCTGAATGAAGCTAGTGTTTTAGGTGGGTCCTGATAAAATTTTACCTTGGGGTAAGGTTTTTTGTTCTTTGTAATTTTGCAATTGCAGGGCATGTTTGGACTTATGAAAGGTGTGTGCCTATGCTTGAAGATTTCAGGAATGTTCAGACGAGATGATGCATCCTGGATTGATGACTGACTTGAAATCAAAATTTTACACTTTCTTAGTAACAGAGGGTTTTAAAAAAATCAGTTTTAGTTCTCCACATCATTCACATGGCAGAAAAGAACTATGTTTGCAAT